AAATTCTTTCTACCCTCTTACATCAATGAAGCCCAATCTCTCACATTCCATTCTTAATTTCTCATGCCAAATCCTCTTCTTAAGCATTTCAACTGACCCATCGGCCTTACCTCCCATGGCTGAGCCAAACTTTAGGTTGGAGAAGCCTACATCCAGTGAAACCCCATATAGCTTGAAACATGGCTGTTCAAGAGCTTTCCATATGCTCTGTTTGTATGTGTAAGTCTAAAGAGTGTCCTCACGGTGACACTTGTGTTCGAACAAAGCGGGAGCCCTCCCGTTCGGGCCCGGTGCCGCCCATCTTCAAACCGCCTACGTTATGTTTATCAGCCGTGTTAAATTGTCATCATGTAAATTACCGAAATGCTGGATGAATAGGGTAGGAAATTGCATGAATGACGACTATGCCAAACATCAAGCGAAATTTACGCTTTATCTGTGCAATCCATGTCATGTTTCCTTATAGTTTTTCATTTTTTGCTGATCTCTGCATATTTTCCTTTTCGAGGTTTTCAAGAAATGTTGCTATTTTTGATGCCTTTCCTAGAAAAATCGGTTTGGCGGATACGAGAATGCAAAGCTTTGCGCTTACTATATACAGATGATGACATGTGAAGTTTCTCTAATTTTCTACTTAGATTTTTTTCCAATTGGTTTAAATTACGAATATGGATGAATTAAAGAGTTGAGTTTTTTTCGTAGTTTTTTCAATGTTACCAGTGCGATTACTCTCCCTCAAAATGCGATCATTACATGGCTTTTCGCCTCAAACATTACTACTAACAACTTCTTTCAAAACGTAACAAACTCTAGGATGTTGGTGCTGCCCTACCTACGCAAATGCTGTTGTAAAGCACTTGATATTCGAGGCAAGAACTACAAGAGCCTTCAGCCGTGAGTTTTTTGGAAATTTTAAAGAAAACCTTACGATCAAGTGCACAGCTGCGGCCGCGTACATGCGCTGACGTTTGATCAGAGCACAAATTTTTTCTGTATAAGGACATCGGAACAATCCAAGAATTCTTCTACTCAGTGATATGTCTGGACTGACACAGTCTGGTGGTATTTGCTTATTTGAAAGGGAAATGACACAAAGTGATCACATTGCTGCTTTTCACGTCGAAGGCTCGTCGAAGCTTTCGCTGAGCACAGCGAGCGACAGTTGCCCGAGCGGCTGTCAGCCTCGGTGTTGACTCTCAAAACCTCCCACTCTCCTCTCAATCGCCGAAGTGCTCTGAACACTTCCAGTGCCCGAGGTGCGATCGGTTCCAGATCCATCGCTTCTGTCGGGATATTTCTGTCTTAATTCGCTATCTCATCATGCTTCATCTTTTATCCTACATGACGTGATCGTTTCCAGATTCCGTGACTTTCACGCGTTTAATTCGTAAATCCTCACTGTAGACCACTTTATTCCAGGTTCTTCTAATATCCCACAGGGACATTTGTGTGCAGTGTGCAGTGTGCAGTGTTTGTATCGTTCACATAGGTGAGTTCAACCATTTTTTAGAACAAAATATCAGTTGCTACTTATTACGACAACTATAACTTTCAAATCATTGTACGCCTCCATAGCTTGACTTCTTATATATACAGCAAACCCAATTTCTCTTTTTTTGAGGAATCAATAATATGAATGAGTGACTTTAAATTAAACTGTTACTGATTTTTTTAGAATGGAGCACAAATTAATTAGTATCAGGAGGCTATTCTACCTAGCAAAAATGATTTCGGTGCTCGCAAAGCTTAGATAACCGGTTTGCACGTTTTTCAATGTTTCTGCGTTTTCTTTTCGCAACGAGCTCATTGTAGGAAAAGCACAGAAGTGTCAGATAAAATGAAAGTTGAAAATCTTTCTGTTTTAGAAATGTACATATCTGATCCAGATTGCTTTGCAGTACGTTTATATAAGTGCTTTCATCTAATTTATGTCAGCTTCTGCAGAAAATAGTCTTTCAAACTTGGTCTTTACAGAAAGTAGCGCAGATATTTTTACCACATACTGATTTATACTTAAGTGATAGTAGGTTACATATCTAAGGTCACAAAACTCGTTCAGCACAACATAAGAGTGACTCGAATAATCCTCTGTCACATCTGTAGGTACACATTGCGATAATTACCTTGCGAATTTTCTATCATCAATTGAATTGATTTCAATCCACATGTTCATCTATGTGCATT